ATTGTTATTTTAATGGGATTGGAACTGAAGTTAATAAAACAAAAGCAATTGAACTATATGAGGAAGCAGCTAAAAAAGACCATGCCATGGCATTATATAATTTGGGTCAATGTTTTAGATTAGGAATAGGAGTTGAGAAAGATGAAGTTATAGCTTTCAAGTATTATGAAAAACTAGCCAAAGTAGAACATTTAGACGCTCAACTTCAACTTGGATATTGTTATATTAATGGAATTGGAACTGAACATAATAAATTAAAAGCATTTGAGTTATATGAAAAAGTAGCTGAAAAAGGACATAGTATTGCACAATATATTCTTGGAGTATTATATGAGTACGAAGATGGAACAGAAAAAAACTTAGAAGAAGCTATTTATTGGTATAATAGAGCAGCTGAAAAAGGAGATAAAGGAGCACAATATAACTTGGGTCAATGTTATGAATTAGGTAAAGGAGTAGAAAAAGATGAAGTTAATGCTTTTAAATATTATAAAAAGTCAGCCGAATCAGGATATTTAGATGCTCAATTTCAACTTGGATATTGCTATTATAAAGGAATTGGAACTGACATTAATCATGTAAAAGCATTTGAATATTATGAAAAATCAGCTGAAAAAGGAGATAGTAATGCGCAAAATAACCTTGGTTATTTATATGATTGTGGGCAAGGGGTAAAAAAGGACCGAAAAAGAGCTATTTATTGGTATCAAATGGCAGCAGCAAATGGAAATGCTAGTGCATTATATAATTTAGGTGAATCTTATGAATTAGGAATAGGTGTTGAAAAAGATGAAATTAAAGCATTTGAATATTATAATAAATCAGCTGAAAAAGGATATTTGGATGCTCAATATAAACTTGGTTGCTGCTTTTATAATGGAATTGGAGTTGAAATTAATAAAATGAAGGCAGTTGAATATTATAAAGAAGCAGCTGAAAAAGAACATACTATGGCTCAAAATAATCTTGGATCATTATATGAATATGGTGAAGAAACAGAGAAAGATTTAAAAAAGGCTATTTACTGGTATAATAAAGCAGCTGAAAAAGGAGAAATAGTAGCATTATACAATCTGGGCCAATGTTATGAATTAGGTAAGGGAGTAGAAAAAAGTGAATTTAGAGCTTTTGAATATTATAAAAAGTCAGCTGAAGGAGGATATTTAAATGCTCAATTTCAACTTGGATATTGTTATTTTAATGGGATTGGAACTGAAGTTAATAAAACAAAAGCAATTGAACTATATGAAGAAGCAGCTAAAAAAGACCATGCCATGGCATTATATAATTTGGGTCAATGTTATAGATTAGGAATAGGAGTTGAGAAAGATGAATTTGTAGCTTTTGAGTATTATGAAAAACCAGCCAAAGAAGAACATTTAGACGCTCAACTTCAACTTGGATATTGTTATTTCAATGGAATTGGAACTGAAGTTAATAAATTAAAAGCATTTGAATTATATAAAAAAGTAGCTGAAAAAGGACATAGTATTGCACAAAATATTCTTGGAATATTATATGAATATGGTGATGGAACAGAAATAAACTTAGAAAAAGCTATTTATTGGTATAGATTAGCAGCTGAAAAAGGAGATAAAGGAGCACAATATAACTTGGGTAAATGTTATGAATTAGGTAAAGGAGTAGAAAAAGATGAAGTTAATGCTTTTGAATATTATGAAAATTCAGCTGAGAAAGGAGATAGTAATGCGCAAAATAGCCTTGGTTATTTATATTATTGTGGGCAAGGGGTAAAAAAGGACCGAAAAAAAGCTATTTATTGGTATCAAAAGGCAGAGCAAGGGGGAAATGTTGAAGCCCAAAAACGTCTTGCATCTTTATATGAAAAAGGTAGGGTATACAAAAAGATTATTCATGGTGCAATTTATTGGTATAAGAAGGTTATAAAAAATGCACATCCTGAAGTCAAAGAAAACTTGGATAATCTTTAAATCAACGAAAAAAGTGAAATATGATAATAGGATTTTAATCAATTTCATTTAATATATTTAATATTAATTTTTAAATAATCCGATAATTTGTTCTTTGTCTTATTTATCTATATTGTAAAGTTCGATATATTTAATTTAAATATAAAGTTTAACTCAACTTTAGAAATAAATTAGTATTAAATCTTAATTTAAAAATTGAAACTTAAATCGTAACGCTTATCAAATGTAAACCCTCTAAAATATAATGATTATTTTGCTCTAAAAAAAATATCAGTAGAATCCAAAGTGTGAAATAGTCATTATCAGTAAAGTTTGATTGGTTTATGCCTAAGTCTTTGATGCATGTGTAATAGAGAAACTTCATAAAGTTTGTGGATCAAAATTCAAACTAGAGGTTGGAACCGACCAAAAAAACCTTAACCGATTAATAATCGATTAACCAAGGGCCCTAATCGATTAATAATCGATTAATATTAAAATATTAAAAATTTTTTTTTTTTTTGACCGCAGATTGCACAAAATTGGGTTTGATCATACATTTAGTTATAGGAAAGTCTTATTTATTATTATTATCATTAAAAAATTAATACAAATTCTTCCAAGTTCGGAGAACACGTGACCAAAAATTCACAGCTCTGGGCCGCATTAGGTAATTTGACCAGAATTATGGGTTGATAATTTTAATCGATTAACCGATTTTTGAGATACCTTATTCGATTAACCGTCTTAGTCGATTAATTAATCGATTAACCTTAATCGATTCCAAACTCTAATTCAAACTTTAGACTAGGGAAACGGAAACCGTTATGGTTCCGGAGCGATAAAATTTGTATCTTGTTTATTACGTATCACAAGTTTTATTCTATTTTTATCTTGTTTATATTTATTTTGTTTTATCGATGTAGCACAAATTTCAGTGACGTATTCGTGCGTACAAACGGATTTCTCCACGTGATCCAATTTGTGATTAACGTTCATAAACATATAGCTTCGCTCCGGACAATTATCGATAAAATACGAATGTCCGATAAATTACAGATTATCGGATCATAATCTTTTTTATACTAATTTTTTTTTATTTTAAATCTTTATTCATAATAATCTTCCGGTTACTTCGGAACTGACGAAATAGACAGCAAATCCTGCAAAAATACTTATTATGGCTTCTATATTATTTATAAAATCAAATACCAATGTGAAGAAAAAAAAATTTCCTATTTTACCATTTTTTCAATAATATTTTTCAAAATAGTTAAATTTCACTTTTCAACCCTTAGAAGTTTCCTTCAATATTACAATGCGGTTAACTAAATAAATACGTACAGTAAATATATTTAACTAATTTTTTAATATAGAAATTTTGGTAATCTTGATGACCTAGCTATGGATCAAAAAATTTTCAATTGTATGCAACTCCACTATGATGGCGACGCATCTGTGTACCCTATATATTTCTGGGTCCTATCTAAATTAAATAATAGTTTAATGAATATTAATACCGTATATATTTATAAAAATATTTAAATCAAAAAAAAAAGGCTTAAATTTTATTTTCTTGCAAAATTTAAATCAGAAAGGATAATTAAAAAAATATGACAATGATTATTGTGAGACTATTTTTAATGAATTTGAATGGATTCATATTAATCTAAACTAATTGATAATGATCTAATCATCTATTACTTTATTACAAACATATCCAAACGCATAAATATTAAAGTATTTAGATTTAGACATTTTTGATAAATAACCTCATCATCGTGACTTTTTATTTCAACGTTATTAATTAAGCTTGTTAAAGATTTAACTGGAATATTTTAGCTTTTAAAATTTGTAATAATGGTAAAAGATAAATTCTCGGAACGATACCATGATATACTAGTTGTATACCGATAACAATTTAATCCATTTAAAATATGAATGGATTTTGTAAATATTATTATAAAGATCTTTGATATAAAGTTGTAATAATGCAAATCCTTGATTCCGATAAATTATTTTTTCATTTGATAAATACGCTCAATATCAATTTCTCCTATTCCGTCTTCTTTAAGTAGTATTTCTAAGGATTTCTCCATAAAAATTGGAATAATATTTTCACTTCATGTTTTATTAACTGAAAGACATCTATTCTAAATCCTCAAATGTTGAAATAAAGAGCATCTCTGATGATTTTTTTTTAAAAAAAGAATTTCCTTTTACGAACACGCACATGTATTGTATATATTTCAACACAATGCATTTAATGCATTTTGGTGACTCTCAAATAATATTGGCGTAGCGTTTAATCCATTTGCAGCGACAAAATTTTTTTATTCTCGAAGAAACTTATAATTTATAATATAATTAATTTAACTAATGCTATTATTACATTTACGTGATAATATCCCACATTTCATTTATTACGTGATTTTTTTTTTACGATACCAAAGCTTCATATACCTTATTAATAGAAACTCAAGCCTATTAGAATTCTTAAAAATTAGATTATTGATACAAATAATTTTTAAAGGGACAAAAAGAAAGTTAAAATGCTTTTTTTTTAAAACGGAAAGATTGCATGTTATAAAATAAATATTTTAGTTTTAATTAATTAGGAGTTGAATCCGGACAAAAATATCTGATTAATTGAAACATTTAACCAGATAATAATATTTGGTTTATAACTTTATAACGTATCAAGTAAATTTTTTATTTTCCTTAAATTTGTAATATCAAATTGCTTGTAACAAATTTTATACATTTACTGAAATTACATTCCGTAATAACATAAAATTTTTAGCAAGTCACATTATTCATTTTTCCTGAAAATTAAAACATGCCTATTTATTTGTCACATTATTATCTAATATAAAAAAAACCTTTGATGATCTCCCGCAGTATACGCAAAAAGGATTATAAATTTTCTAAATTTAGATAAGCTCCAATATAATCGGTTAATAATTATCCGATTGAACTGCCGATTTTGAGACGATCAAATTCTAAAACAATTAAAATAATGACATGTAAAATAAAAAGTCGAATAAATATAGAAAGGTTCATACAAAAATGGCAAATATCGTTTGGAAACGTTCATTATTGTGTGCCTTTTTTAGTAACGCCAAAATACAAAGCGTCATTTCTAAACGTAATATTTACATAAAAGAATATTTCACTAACTTAATTTGGTAAGTTCAAATGGATAAAAAAAGTAATCATATAAAAAGCGTACATTTCGCACTTCAAAGAGATAAATTCAAATTTTCATTATATTTCTTACGGCTTTTAGTCTTTCACATCAAAAAATGTATCAAACGATCATTCTAGGATCCATTCTATTGATATCGCTTTATATTTCAAAGCGTATTCGCGAGACAAAATTGGTAAGAAAATAATTTTAATGAATATATATATTTTTTTTAGAGTTTTTTTTATTCTATTTTATTTATTTAGAATATGCCACCTCTTGCTCGTTATAAAATTCCAATTATCGGTCATACTTATAGTTATATTTTTAATTCCGAAGAATTCATTAAACAATGCAAAAAGGAGGTTAGTAAAATTGTAAAAGAATTTTTTGTCTTCTTTTTTTCTTCCGCGTCAAATCTATTAACTTCTTTCAATTATCGTTATTGATTAGTATGGTGATATCTTTAGTATATATGTATGGGGTCGAGTGAGAACAATTGTTGGTAATATATCCGCGTTTTTATTTATATACTACAAATAAATAATTTTAATCTTCGCAACTAATTAATTTTATATGTATTTGTATTTTAATAGGAAAAGAATATGCGCAAGAGATATTATCAAAAGATGATACGTTTAGTTTTTTTGTGGCATTTCGTAAAAGATTTCCGGGTGACGTATTACTTAAAAATTTGGGTGCTATAAGTCCAATAAAATTGCTTAAAGAACATGTTTTTCCTAAATTAAATTTTTATTCTGAGCGTATGCAAAAAAGTCTTCATCCAGCCACTCAAAAATATATCGATATCGATATTGGTGATCATGATGAACCAAAAGTTTTTAATAATATGTATTATTTAATGGCTAGAATTATTTCTACCCCTATTGCAAATATTTTAATTGGTGAAGTAAGTATATACAGCACGTACTATATTTTGTTTATCTTGATTCAAAAAAAATATATATATTTATTAAAAAAAAAATTTACTTTTTTTTATAGGAGGGATCATAAGATGATGAAATTATAACTACATTTGCGGAATTTACTAGGGATTTATCAATATTTTTAATAATTCCACCATTCCTTGATTTTATTTATCCAGGACTCCAAAATTATGTCAATCGTATTGTCATAAAATCAGGATTATATAATCCAGCAATTAAACACCAAGATATATTAATTAAACATATTAAAAAACAAGCTTGTAAACGTTTACAAGAGAAAGAAAAGTATGGAGATTCTTGGAAGCGTCCTGATGATTTCCTTCAAGATATTATGGAACAAGATGGCTTTGATTCTAATAATGTTGATTATTCATCATTAGCAGATAGAATATGTTCATTACTTTTCGCAGCGATTCATACGACAACAGGTGGTTGTGCAAATGCTTTTATGGATTTAGCATCTCGACCTCAATATATGCAAGAATTATATGAAGAACAATTGGAAGTACATAAAGAAGCTGACGAGGATGGTATACTTCCATTTGAAGCTCTTAATAAGATGAAAAAATTAGATAGTTTTATTAGAGAGTCATTAAGATTAACTGGACATATTGTAGCACTTGAACATGCTGTATTAAAAGATCATACGTTTCTTAATGGGTTGCAAGTACCAAAAGATCGTTTAGTTTATGTTTATGTTGATGATGTTAATCAAGATGAGTCGTTACAAGGACCAAATCCGAAGTCATTTGAACCGTTCAGGCATGTAGATGCAAACGCTTTAGCATCAAAAATTGGTAAAAATTATATGCCATTTGGAGGTGGTAAACACGCGTAAGTTTATGATAGTATTTAATTTATTTATTTTTTTTCAACTTTTTGCAAATATTAATTAACCCAAAAATTATTAAATTACTTAGATGCCCTGGAAGATATTTTGCTATAAACGAAATCAAATTTTTTATGCATAACGTTATCTTAAAATATAATTTCCGTACAGCAAGTGGTAAAGTTGAAGAAAGAAGGAGGGTCGGTCCACTAGCACTCCCAAGTTCTGGAGCAATTATTATTGAGAAGAGGGTTAAATGAAATTTAAAGAAAAAATGATTCAAGTTGTTGAATGGTATGGTATCAAAATTGTTGTTGATTTTTTAAAATCTCGATTTCTTATTATTATCTTCGTTTATAAGGACTAAAGATATTGGAAGTCAAATCTAATTAAGGGGTTAATTGAAATTTTTAAAAAAGAAATATGGTTCAAGTTGTAGAAATGGTATGGTATCAAATTATTGTTGTCATAAAATATTTTTATTTATTTATTTATTTTCTTTTTTTCATTGTTATACAAATTATTTTATTATTTTTATTTAAAGAATTAAAGTTATTGGAAGTCAAATCCAATTAGATCTTTACGTTGTAAATGTGAAATTATTTTTTTTTTCTGATAAGTTATCGTTATGAAATTTGGGAAAATAGTAACAAGTTTTAATACTTTATATTAGTTTTTATGATAAAATACTATGAATATTGTAAAATGTCAAAATAATGATTAATTTAATTAGAACATATGTTTCTTAGCGACACTTCGGATTTAATACTGGGTTCCGTTTCCCTATTTATTACATAACACTTTGGCATTAGTTCCTGGGATGTGGGAATTGTCGGACAACGGGACACGGCGTCATCACCAGGCGTAAAAGTATGTAGACTTTCGGATTTTTTTTTAAAATAAAAAAATAATATAGTAAATTAGTGATTTCTTTTTTACTATCATAGGTTTTGTTTTACTATTTTTTTCTTTTTCTTTTTAAAAAATCATCTGAATTAAATAAATTATCCCAAAAATAATATAATCTCCAAATAATAATTGAAAAAATTTTTTTTTTCCCTAAATAATAAATCTGGAGTTTTTTACCATTATTACCGTTATGTAAGCAAAAAAAAAAAGATGCTTTCCCATTTAAAGTTAAAATATTTTTTTTTAAAAAAAAAGTTGATTTACCTTTCACTATTATGCCCAACATCCAAGTAACCTTAGGGTAAATATAAAAAGCGTATAATTGTTTATTAATAATTTACTGATATAAAGTAGAAACATCTATAAAAATTATTATATAATAATAATTACATAAAAATATTACTGATTCACAAACTAATAAATAAGATATTTAAAATAAAAAAAAGAAATGAAAATAAAAAAAAATACCGATATTTATTTTTAAATATATAATAATAAAGTACCATGCTGACAAAACTCATCCTAATTTGTGTAATCATTAATAAGGTAGCAATAATTTTATCATAAAAGAAGCTATTGCTGTTATGAGAAAACGAAAGATAATACAACAATGAACCTTAAAGTGATTTACATTTCCCCCAAAAAAATCCTTCAGTCACGAAAACCTGTCAATGAAAAAATTAAAAACAAAAATTAACTCTAAACATATTTACTAAAATATCAATGAGTGTGTTAAAACGTTCACTTGTACTTCAAAAGGTAATATTCAGTTTATTAAGAATTCATAATGATATTTTAGTAAATAAATTATAAAAAAATATTTGCTATATTTGTAATTATATTTAGCTACTTAATGATACAACAATGATCGAACAGGAATTGACAAATTTTTTAATTTCGTCAGAAGAATGGAATAATATAATCATGTCATACATTTGAGGTAAAGGCTTTTTTCATTAAATTGTATTGCATTTTAAATTCAATCTCAATTATTTCTAAATACAATTTCATATATAATTTAAATTTTTCATAGACGCTTTCTTCCTCAATTCCGATATACAACGGTAAAGTCAATTACCCGACCCGACCAGACCTGACTTGACCTGAATGACTATTTACAAGTTGCAATCATCATGAAATTTTTAGATTGGTCCATGTAATTCTATATGAATTAATTCAGAAAATATGCGGAAAAGATATAAATAAAGAAATTCCATAATGTTAAAGAAATAGATTTAATGATAATAATAGGACCCCGAAATATATATGTAGAGGTCAGGTCCAGAAGTGGTCCAAAATACGCATTCTTTCAGGGCCGGAATTACGATAATTTCAGCCATTATCTAAATTAGGAAATATTATTTTGGCTGGGATTATCCACAAAAGGAATGATCTACATGATTTTTTTGACTCATTATACGCAAACTCTGACCTGACCCTTTTATGTATATTTCGGGGTCCTATAATAATAAGTCACAGCCAGGAGAGAAATACATCAGTGGATAGTACCAATATCTTACAAATACCCGACAACTGTTTTTGGCGTAGATCCACAAAGTTTGAAAATTAAAAGTATGGAATTCCATCTACTTTTGCTACTGTTCCATCTTTCGTACTCAATAAATAAATATGATAATTTAATATTATTCTCTGCCAACCAATCATGTATAAAATTCAACTCAATTACATAACCATTATTTAATTTTTTCAGAGGCCTAATTTTTTGAGTGTCCGCAGTTTTTGCTGCACTTTCTGTAGATATCATCAAAGATTATCCCAAGTCTTCTCATATTATTATCATATAGTATAAAGGTTACCATTTGCAAGTTTATATTATTAGTTCCATTTAATGAAGTAGAAAGACTTACTGTAGATCTTAGAAGAATGGTGGGATCGTCATTATGTTTAAATAAAGTGATATATTTTATGCTCAAGGTCTTTTTTTGAAAGTCAACCTATTTCTTCGAAACTTGTTATTAAAATCATATGTACTTCCTTAAGAAAATATGTGCTAAATTCATTTTTCAAGGGATGTGACTCCATATTTTTGTGTTTTTGTTATAAAAAATTGTTGCTACACTTTTTTCCTTTGCAAAAATTTTGGTCAAGTGACCCAAATTTATTGTTGTTAAATACCAGGTGTTAAATTTAATATTTCTTAAATAAATAGGCACTTTTTGCGGTCTCAATGATAGTATATATTATTATGGGTATTGTGTGATTCACTATCAACTTACAAATTTATTTATATAATGCTTGAAGTATGGATTTGGATATTGAACTGAAATATTTTAAACAAATTAAAAATGAAAATAAAAATATAAATAAATATAAATAAAAATTGCTTCAATAATTGTCAAACTTGTACAGCATATTGTAAAAACTACTATAGTAATGATTTTTATATGATATAGTAATAATTGATAAATAATCTAACAAATGAAGAATAATTATTATAATAGAATTATTAATCTTCAATCATACAATCAAAACCCTGAGACCCTTCTTGAACTAAAATTTCAGTAAGTTTGCGACTTGTATAACATGCCTGCGAATGATATTGTATCATAGAAGTATTTGCTTTTTCTTCTACTAAAGCTTTATTTGCTTCTACAAATTTTAACATATCATTTTTTAATTGACCATCAATATTAGGTACTATAAATTTGTAATTTCCATCCATATTTACTTTATAATATTCATTAATACATCTAATCCATTCAGATATAATATTTTCAAGCATTAATATGGTCGGCCTATTGGTAGGATTTAAATCCCAACATTTTTTCATTAATTCTATATAACATTTTGGAGTATTTTTCACAATTTTAGGACGTTTCCCTTCATAAACACTCAAGATAAAGTGATAGTCATGTGCTTCATGGCTAAATGGAGGGATGCCTGATGTAAATTCCCACATTATCATTGAAAAACTATAAATATCACTTGCTGGAGTATAGGGCTTTTTTCTTAATATTTCAGGCGCCATATAAGGTAAAACTCCATAAACTTCATTAACTTTATTATCAGAATCTTTTAAATCACTTATAGGTTTGCATAATCCTAAATCAATAATAAATAACTCATTGTAATCATCTGACATTAAAATATTACCATCATGAAAATCACCATGAATTAAATTTGATTCATGCATTACTTTAAGTCCTAATATGATTTTTTTCAATAATTGTAACTTATCTTGCCATTTGATTTTAATTATATCAGATAAGCATTTTCTCAAACTTCCTTTTTTTGCATAACTCATTACTATAATATAATTTAAATTATTTGGATCTTGGGTAAATCCAAAGAACTGAATAAATTTTGAAAATGATTTTTTCTGACAATTATAATGATATTTCCACTATGTAAATAACAAAAAAATTATCAAACTTTGTACAAGAAAATAAAGTTTGCTATTAACTATAAATACTATACCTCATTCAGAAATTCACTATTTAAACTTGATGAATTATTAAGTATTTTAAGAACAACTTCATAACATGTTTGTCTATTCCATTGTTGTTTATCAAAATTCCAATTAAAAATAGGTCCATCTGACCAAATAGCTTTATGAATTTCACTAAATCCTCCTTTATCATAATAATTAATATTTGACAATTTGTTATAAGGTATCCACTCTAAAATTTCATAACAATTTTTGGCATTTAGCTGTGTTCCTTGAACAAATTCATCAATAAATTTATTTTTACTAGTCCACTTTGAAAAATCTTGTTGAAATCGCTTAGTATTACATTGTTGGCACCATTGGTAGTCAGTATCTGGTTGCAAGCATTCATTACAATATTCAGCTTCATTTTTAGAATTTGTTTTGTTACTCTCTACTGCTATTTGACGCCAATAAAAGGCCCTTTCTAAATTCCTTTCTGTTCCTTCTCCATTTCTATAACATTTAGCTAAATTAAACATTGCATCAATATGACCCTTGTCTGCTGCTTTTTGATACCAATAAAAGGATTTTTCAAAATTCTTTTCTGTTCCTTTTCCATTAGAATATCAATTGGCTAAATAAAACATTGCATTAATATGATCTTTTTCTGCTGCTTTTTGATACCAATAAAAGGATTTTTCAAAGTTCTTTTCTGTTCCTTTTCCATCTTCATAACATAAGGCTAAATTAAACATTGCTGTAATATGATCTTTTTCTGCTGCTTTTTGATACCAATAAATTGCTTTTTCTAAATTTTTTTCCGTTTCCTTTCCATTCTTATGATAGTTGGCTAAATTTAACATTGCTACTTTATCACCATTTTCTGCTAATTTTTCTAAAGAATTAATACATTCTTTACACCATAATTCTTCAGTAAAAAGTATATTGCAATACAAACAATTTTTGGTGCCTATTGCATCAATATTTTTATCTGAGATATTAGGTTTACAAAATTCAATTTCCATTTATATTTAGAAATTTGAAAATTTTATTATTTTCTAGAGACAAAAAATTTTCTGTAATACATCATGATTGAAACCACAAAAGGAATAATTAAACCAATTATGGCAAAAAATTTTATTGGCCACTTGATGCACTTATCTGACTCACTTGATGATCTGAATGTCAATCATTTTGACTAAAATTAACGTTAATTTTGGCCAAGATAATCGACATTCCGATCATCAAGTGGGTCAAATCCAATGGATCGCGGTATTACAGCATTAAAAAATTATGCTTGTGATCTAAGTCCCCAGAATACTTATTTATTTATTTTATTACTAAAAGAGTGTTAGAACCCAGACTATTACAAATAAAAGAAGGAAGAGTTCGAAAAAACTTGAAACTAATATATGTGTATAGACCTTTGTTCGTCATCCCCTACGGGACCCCACTCTTCGATCTGTACTATTTGATAAAGTAGGACTACGCTAAAAAATCAAATGGGAACCATGAAAAAACCATCCGAGAGAGTAGCGGCTATCTAAAAAAAGAAAGGTTAAAGGGCGGCTAATATAGTCAAACTTTACCTACAGTATGTGGTGAGCGAAGAGGTTATATGGTGTAATAAAACAATCAAAATAAAAAAAATAATGATCCGTATTTTCCTTTCAACCAAGGTTGCCACCTGTGAATACTGTAAGAGGTGGAGTGGTTCACACTATTTTGAGTTGTGTTATACGTATGATAACAAAAAGGAACAGAAATGTAGCTAAAACTACTGGATAAAGGTATCGTACTCCTATTATTGAGAATACTAATATATATAATATATAAATTAAACGTTCTTTGAATTTGAAGGTCCTGGAGCCAGGGAGTCATCGGTAATAGCTGGCGTAGGATGTAGTCGTTTCATCTTATGATCCAGAAATGGCAAATAATGATAATCATTATGGGCGTTATCCCGTTTGTTCAGGCAGTATTCAAACTCAGCTGTGTCATCAGAGACCGTGGCTACTATGTGTGTAGGGAATCGCATAGCCCCTTGAGTTCGGAGTCTATTATTTTTGAGAAATTTAGTAAGATATTTGTCTAACGTTGCGTTACTAGAACCATGATCGTGATTTTCTTTTCTCTTCACCAAATAATTAGGTATGCGAGTGTGGAAATTATCTGATGCCTCAGTTAAAGATTTAATTGTATTGATCCGAGAGTAATAATGTTTAGGAGTAGTTCCATGATAAGCTGATTCTTTGCGCAAGGCGATCGCCTTAAGTTTTTCCAGGCTCTTTATTTGAGCTTTTTCTACAATATGAGTCAGTACGTAATTTCCAACGACTTGTGAACGGTAAATAGGACGTCTTGGGATATATTTCCCTTTCTATCATAACGTGCTGTTTTATCCTCTTCTGGGTAGAAAGATTCATCAAAGTTATACATATAGGTGAACTATTCACAAGATCCAGGAATAACATAACGATCGTTCACATATATTGGATCCTTTGGTATGATATCATGATATTTTGAAGGTATGAACATATCCGGGATTGGGTTATAATCAGCAGGTGGTGCCAAAGGTGCTGTAGGCACGTGACTGAGTTTAGTCATGATTTGTTTCTTGTGATTTGCGTCCATGGCGAAAAAAGGAACCAGGAACGGATAGTCATCAGCGTTAGGGATCTTATTAGAATGTTTGTACAGTAAGTGTCGAACAGGTACTTTGACATATTGAGATTTCAAAAATAAAAAACGGTATTTGCGCGCTATCGCCAAATAATCTTGATTTTTAGCTTTGCGATTGGAAGGTAATCGCATCTTATTAAATACACGACGGCAAGTGCGTTTAAAACGTATTTCTTGTTGCTTTTGAATGCGTAAATTAGGACTCAAATCATATTTGAAGTTGGACAAAGATCTATGATACATATGTCTGTTGCCACGTTTGGTGATAGAAAGAGAGTCTCTAGCATGAATATTGCTGTCATACGAAATATCCAGTCGTCTAGAGGTAATACGTTTGGTTTTTCCATCGAGCCATCTGTAATATAATAAATTGGCATGAGAAGCCTTATTGTTAACAAAATCTTTTGATGTAATTGCCAGATTTTGTACGTTTTTTTGTTTAATATTGTTGAAACATTGTGTTCTTGCGAAAATATGTTGATGAGTTACGCATGCGCATCTATGTTGCGACATGACAAAAGGGGTAGGAATACCACATTGTGTGTCTTTGTGAAAGTGTTCAGGGTCATTAACATGAGGGCAAGGTATATATATGCCAAAGTAAAAGCGACGTTTCTTATAAGTAAAATTAAAAAAAGTCCTTGTAGAATAATTTCTATTAGCTGTACTACTAGCACGTGATTTGATGATCTTAATTCTATCCAATAATTTGTTACGGAGGAAATTAAAATATTTATCTTGTACACGACGAGGAAGAACTCTTTGTGATGAAAAAAAATGCGTAAGCATGCAGCTGATTTGATATTTGTTGTTAGGGAACGAACTTGTGTTATTATAACTAATCAGTTTAGTGTTCATATGATAATCATTCGTGTGTATCTTCAAATGAATTTCATTGGTGTTTTGATTATGATCAGCAAGCTCAAAAAAGAAACTCCTAGATCGGCGGATTTTGTAAATCTTGTTATAACTGGAACGTTTTGGCGTAGTCACGTGAAATTTTTTCAGGGAGACCAAGAGGGTAGTTTTTTTCCCAGCGGTGAGTGAATTTTCTGAAAGAGGCGCAGTAGCCAAAGGAGGCGAAGGAGTAATGTCCTGTATGGGACTTAAAGGAGTGTTGCAAACAGGAGGTATATCATTTCTTAGTGTGTTGACAACTTCTATTTCGGCATTTAAATTAGCCTCTATTAGTTGTTCAAAATAGTCTTTGTCATCATAGTAATCTTCCGTTTCATTGTCTTCAAGATGAAGAGTTGAGTACGTATAAGGATAAATATCGTCAATATCAAGGGAAAGAATATCCTTAGCAGAAAGTACTGTTGGCCGCTCAGTATTAACTAATATGTCATCTGAGCTGGTTTCAGGTGGTGTAGAGTCACCGAGTTGAAGATACGAATGTTGTGAAGTGGAAGACCAGTCTATTTCAATAAAAGGTGTGGAAGACATATTCCTTTATAATATAGGATATTGAAGGACTAAAAACCTCGTATTGGACTGAGGCGCCTGTATGGGCCTCTCCCCCTTTAGAGTTTCAAATAGAAACTAAAAAAAAGAAAAAACTTGCGCTAAATTACTGCGGAAAATTAACAAAACGTAAAAAAAGGGGAAAGAGTTTTTTTTTTCCCCAGAATACTTATAAAAATGAAAGATGTATGAAAACTTTCTTTACTAATATCACGTGATTCTCCCACTTTGATTGAACTTTAAATTACTATAGTGCATAGTTTACTATAGATGTGTGAAAAATCTGAAAATCACAATGATCCTTACTTTAAGATACAATCACACCATGACGGCACATTACAAAGCTATACATGGCGTGAATTTTTATTGCCTACGTGTTTCTAGTAGGTACGGACCGTGGGTTTTTTTTAGCTTTAGCTTTTTTTCCCTTTCCCCCCTTTTTTTGGTCATATTCCTTTCCCCAGTGTTTTATTTTATTTATCATTTTTGGCTCTACTGATTCGGTCAAGTTTCAGTTTGAGTCCTTCTTAGTATAAAGTTTGAGGTCTGAATTTTTTTGGGTGACTTTAATTACAGCTGATTTTCTTTGATCTTATTGTATAATATTTTCAGAGTAGTCTGTATTTCTCTCAACTTTCCATAAAATAAATAAACAATAAACAAATTTTTATATTCTAATTACTTCATATCATTTCAGGATTCTTTTGGACATAAGAACCCAATTATTTCATCAATTTTACAATTTGTACAACAAAAAATATAAAAGATTGAATTACCATAACTTGGTCAATATCGATCAGAACATCGTAAATTTACCGCCATTTGAATCGCCTTAATGAGACAAATCTAATGAGCTAAAAATTATGAAATCCGATCACCAAAACAAAAGATATGTCTAAACTTAATGTTTAAACAATTTAAAGCAAAATTACATGCTAAATATCAATCCCATAATTACAAATTTATTATCATTCGAATCCTTTCAATGAGACGAATGCAATGAATCTAAAATCATGAAAATTTAATCACTAGATCCAAAATACATAATAAGTGTCCGGATAATTTTGGGTAAAGATAGATATCGGGAGTTAATTCGAGGTATCTATAACCAAAATTTTAATACCATAGTGAAGGAAAAAGACTATAAAAAGGTGATAGAAAGAAAACAAGTGGGTTTATTTTTATGATCAGATTAGGATAAATATTGGAAAAAAAGATATGACACGATATACGAAATAGAAAAAGAAAGAGGGATATCAAAAAGGATTTGAAGAAAAGAAAAGTTAAATTAAAGGAGAATTTATCAGAAGACGAAGAAGGGGAAAAAAATAAAAAAACAACGAAAAACAGACGAAAATGAAATAAACGAAAAAAAATTAGCTAAAAATACAAAATTAGTAACGAAAGATAAAATGATAGGTCAAATAATAGATTTTAGATTAGATTATATAGTTATTTTTAGAATTAGATTGAACTTAGTTATAGAGGATATTATAATTTATTATAATATTTCCTAGGTGTTTAAATAATTATGTAATCAAATGTATTTTTTTTCTTAAAAAAAAAAAATATTTTTAACATCAGCTGCTCTTCTATGTATGTGTGCTGAGAAAATAAAACTAAAAATTTTGCGGCGAAATTTAATATGGATTTTTTGTGTACCCAATTTTATTGGACTTCAGTTTGTCTAGTGATCATAAATATGCATAAATATGAGTTGTCTACCCCAAGTGACCTAAAGTAATTACACCCCACCGCGTTTTTACCGTTCATATTTATCTGAGGGTCAGTTTTTTTTGCCTCCTAAAATTATTTTCTTCTCGCATTTAATTATAAAATTCGGTGGTGTTACAACAGTAAATGTCAATAAATGAAAAAATAACGAAAATTAGATTTGTTTATTTTCTTTCTACTGGCAAATAAATAGGATTGTGAGCATGTCCTTATCCAACATTACAATTTGATAATGCAAACAAATCGTGATGCAGATCAATGCATCAGTAAACATATAGCCCAAAAGAATTTCTAATTTTGAAAGTATATTCTATTTAAAATTTATTTTTTAGATAATAATTTTTTCATTTATTGTCTGGGTCGTTGCGAAGGACGATGTACTATTCTCTCAATGGTTTCCCATTAAAGTTGAAACGGCTGACCCTATAACTAATTTTATTGTAGGTATGTAGTACTATTAATTGTATTAAACCGTTAAAGTATTATGTCCTATGATGAAAGACTTTTCCGGTATAAATGGTATAAATGAAATTAAGAACACGTGTAAAAATGATGCTCAAATCTAGTCTAATGTTACCAAAAAACGCACATTATATAAAAATATTCATCCCTCCTTCATTCTATTATTCATAAGTATTTGAGCTGTTTTTTATGAATGGTTGAAAACATATTCACTGCACCCTTAATTTTCACGCCGACTGCGGAATTACAGTATATCACGACTATCACGTTAACGCTCATAGCCAACTTTTTTATATGGGCTGCAGATCCTGTCCTACCATAAAATTGGTCCGGATTATATATATGATCGTCATAAAGTTACGCCCACTCAAAAAAAAAAAAAAAAAAATGTCTACAAAATTTTTGGTCGATTTATCTAACGATTATGAAAAACTTTTTGATAATGAAATAGGATATGACGTCATTATTTATGCTGGGGAAGAACCGGATATTAAAGAAATTCATGTTCATTCAAATATTTTATCCGTTAGGTCTGAATATTTTCATTCTGTATTTTCTAATGAATTGGTTGAAAAAGTAAATGGAAAATTTATTTTTAAAAAACCAAATATTTCACCACAATTATTTAATATCATACTCAGGTAATGTATCTATTTTTTTTTTAAAAAAAAATATTAATTAAATATTTTTTTTTTTTTTTTTTTTACGTTAAAAAAAATTATTAATATTTCTGAAAAAATTATTTTTAAAATTAGATTTATTTATTGTGGAAATATTGAATTAAAAACTTTACAAGGATTTGATATTTTAAAATTATTGTTAGTAGTTGAAGAACTTAATATTCAATCATTAATTGTTTATATTCAAGAATTTTTAATTGAACATCAACCGGAATTTTTAAAACAAAATCTAATTGATATTCTTGAAACTATTCATCAACGTGAATCGTTTACAGAATTATGGAATTTTTATCTTGAGAAAATTTGTGAAGATCCCAAGATTTTATTCAATTCTGATAAATTTATTAATTTAAAAGATAATTTATTAGAATTATTATTAAAAAGAGAAGATTTAAATGTGGATGAAATTGAAATTTGGGAGAATTTGTTAAAATGGTGTTTTGCACAACAAAATATGGAGAATGAACCTACTAAATGGAATAAAGAAGATATTACAAAGATTGAGAGGGTATTAGAAAGATTTATACCTTTAGTCAGATTTTATGATATTAAGGCTGAGGATTTCTTTTATAAGGTTTATTGTTATAAAGAAATTTTACCAAAAGAATTAATTCATAATCTTTTAGAATTCCATATAGTTCCTAATATAAACCCCAAAATTCCTTCAAGAAAGCCAACAATTGATTCAAAGATAATTAAATTGAATTATCTTCCTCTTTTAGCCTCATGGATTGATAAAAAAGATTATAATAAAAATAACAATCCTTATGATTTTAAGTTATTACATCGTTCAAGTCAAGATGGATTTTCTACTGAAACATTTCACAGAAATTGTAATAAAAAAGGGGCAACGATTTGGATAGCAAAAATTCAAAATTCAACACAATTAATTGGAGGTTATAACCCACTTGATTGGAACGGACCTTATTGGGTAAGTACCAAAGATAGTTTTCTATTTAGCATTGCAAATGAAAAAGATATTTCTACAGCAAAATTAGGTTATGTTAAGGATGCAAGGTATGCTATTTTTTGTGGTAATGAACATGGGCCTAAAATGGGAGATTTAGAATGTAAGAGTACTAATAATTGGTCTTATAAAGCTGATAGTGGTGACTATCCTAACATAGGTATTCCAGAAAATTTTATAGTAGAAAATTATGAAGTATTTAAAGTAGTTAAAAAATAAGATTATATGTATAATAATTTAAATAAATTTGGTAAATTTTTCCGATGATTAAGAGCGTGCGTTAATATTTTTTTTTTTTTTTTTTTTTTTTTTNTTTTTTTTTTTTTTTTTTTTCTCAAAAAAAAAAAATATATTACTTTCAAAAGTAAAATTTTATTAGTTCCAATATTAACGTTAATACCTACCATCATCATGTATAGAATTGGGAATTCTTTATAAATAAGCTAATATATTATGATAGTAATGTATTGTATATAATGTGACTAGGGATGGAACAGTCGGTCGGTCATTGGTTGGTCATAACCGGTATAGAATCTTTGACTCGATCGAACTTTGACCAACCGTTTGCTAATTTCACCAAAAACAATTATCCGAATTATCTATTAAATATATTTTTTTTTAAAAAAAAAAAAATTAAAATATTGTTAGGAAGATAATTTTCTACTTGTTTATAATAATTTTAATTAAAATGATCGTTTAAACGATCTGTCATCTAGTCGGTCGACCGAATTGGTCACGATAATCGGCAATAAACAGTTATAAATAACCGTGACCGTTGCCATCCCTAATTGTGACTGGAAAATTTTCTAAAAATTAGACGGATTATATAATAAATCATTTACACTATAACTTCATTTTAAATAAAGTGTTCCTATAAAGAGAAAGAGGCGATTTAAAGTGTATTTCAAAGAAAAGGGCGAAGTTTTTTTAAAATAAAAATAAAAGGTCAATAGAAAAATAGAGTGAGAGTGCGAAAGCACGAAGCAGTAGCTATTGCGTCACTGTCACGGGACAGGACAAAAAACACAAACCACAAATCAGATATATGAAATATAGTCAATCAAACCACATAATTTTTATATATAGAGACGAACAAATCTCTTTTTCTTATATTAGAAAAAACGTAGAAGTTTAAAACTTTTATTAAAAACGGAAGCAATTACTAAAAAAAAAAAAAAAAAAAAAAAATCTCTACTACTTTATCTCATAATTGACTTTTCATTTTTATTATTAGAAATGCATAAATTTTAATTCGATTATAATAAATTCAATAATTAAGAAAAAATTCTTCTTAAATATAATTTTTAGATAAAATTAATGCACAACTTAAGCCTTAACTGTTAAATCAATTAATTTACTAATTTAGAATAAGTTATTAAAGAACGACTTTCCTTATGATAATTTCACTGAGATTTCTAATTTTCTTTTTTTTTTGTGATTTAGTTTAATTATAGCTGAGCCTTTTAAGTTACTGTTAATCAATAACTGGAAAATTCATTTTATTATCACGATCAACTAAATATTTTAAAAGTTGATAAAGTTGATGCAAAATACAAAAAATAATCTGTGATAAAGATTTTTTTTTTCAGTTAAATATTTTTGAATAATATTTCATTATTCACTTCCTATTAATAATAACATAATTTTACGATATACGTACTGTATATATGTACATTTTTATTTTCTTATAAATAATCATTAATATGCAAACTATGATAGGACAACACTTTATTATAAAATATAATATGAAATTCTTTTGTATCGTAATATTAAGCGCTAGACCTTTCCTATTTTTTAATTTTGATACTTAAATATATTTCTACCTTTCCCCTTACCGTAAATTGTAAAATTTTTAATCCACATCCGTCATTAATTCTTTGTATATTGTTTAAATAAATTTCATGATAATATTTTAGATGTCAGTTGCTATTACGACTTATTAGAAATAATAATTACAATATTACTCTAAGGCAATAAATAATACTAGTAAATTTTTATGGATTTGAATTTTAAATTTAAATTTTCTAAACAAATTGCAAATAAAAATAAAAAATTCATCAGAGATGTTTTTTATGTAGACTTCTATGAAAAAGTCCATGCAAATTTTACGTATACTATCCTATGTAGTTTATGAACCCAACAATCCCATTATGTGAATTTAATCTTTATATGTAAAATAAATTTATATAAATTCAAATATATAAATTTGTAAATTTATAAATAGGCTTTTATTTTTAAAACATTATAAAATTCACTTACTAGACAAATCTTTTAGAATTTGCAAAATATCTAAACTTTAATAAGTAAGACTGAAATTTGGTCCGCCTAATTAATAAGTGAACATTAGGAGAAGAAACTTAACATATTATTATAGGGTGCGACATAATGCAGGTGCGATAAAAAACAAAACCCATGTTTTAAAGATGAAATAAGCTGACAAAGTAATTTAATAGTCTTATAATGTACATGTAGGTATTATGATTAATATACAATACATATTAAAAGACCCTGTAAAAAAAGTCGATCCGTTTATTATATTCCATCTTTTTTCCGTAAAAGGCTCATATTTCCGGAATTAATAACTTTGTACCACAGAATTTATCAAATTATTTACATTTTCCGTGAATGGATCCTCACTTTTACAGAGTTTTTACAGAAATAGCGGTTTATAAGGAGCGTCAGATGACAAAAGTCAAGTCATTGTTAAATATATATTCAACCTAAATATAATTTTTTATGATTTTATTCAAAAATTATTCATACCATTACTACCATATTTGGCAAAATAGTTCAGTCTTTATCAATTTTGTCAGTATGGCATAGAATAGATTCAGTTATATATATAAATATAGATGTTTTATATGATAAATTTTTTCAATTTTATATTACAATGTGTCAGCTTGAGTCATACTATTTACAAGAGATTTTTTTTTATTTAAGACCTTTTGTTTGTATCAAATAAGAGATTTTGATTTCATACAAGAGATTTAATTCCATCACTTTAAATATTAAATGATAAAAAATATTAAATAATAAAGTTGAAAATATGAATACATCTGAAAGCTATTTCTGATTATTGAGAATTTATTAGAAATTTGTAGTATATCATTAAAATTGCCATTATTAATTGCAATATGTTTATTACTATCTATGGTTTATTTGAATAGTATTATTAATACCTAATTTATTAACTTTAACCTTTCTAAGTTCTTACCTCTTATAATTATAACAAAAAATATGAGAATATCATATTGTGGATTCTTGAAAAATTATCTTGATATTATTGGTACTTCGGATTTTTCAGACAACTGGGATGAACTTGACCATTTTTTGGCTGCTCACTTTTTGATGAAGGAAAAGATATCCCTGGTTTAAAAAATAAGGTGTGTAAATTTTTATTTTGCAAAGTAAGGATAACCCCTAAATTGATAATTGCTTCGAGATAGGGGAATTACTGGATTTGACAACCTTGGTAACCACTCCAAGCTCTCAGTTCAGGTGTCCTCACTTTGTAGTTGATAAAAGTCTGCTAATTCTGGAGGAGGAATTGGCTTTTATTACTAAATAAAATTTTTGCACACAACTAATAATCTCTTTCTTGTAACAGGTAAATCTAGAACATTTACATTATAGTATAAGTAATCAAATTTTGGGATTTTTGAAATTTTTCTAAGTTTAAAGAGTTCAACTTTTCTGAAAGCGTGCAGACATGTCGAAAGAGTGAAAAGTGTTTTAGAAATATTTTGGAGAAAATTTTTTTTTGGAAAATAATTTTAGTAAAAATTGCAAAATAGAATTTTGAAAACTCCTGTCAAACTGGAAAATACAATGTTTAATATTGTGTATATTGTTTTGTATAAGATGGATGATGTGGCATTTATTCTAACTTAAAGGAGGCATTCATCCCACAATACACAAGTTGAAGGTATATCAGTGAAGAATCACAAACCTGATTCTTCACTGATTCTTTACAGATTGTACTACATAATAGCCTACAAAAATTAAAAAAAGAAACATTAGTACGCTTCCTAAAGTCCATTTTGAAACCTGCCTAAAAAAATTAATACACCACGGTCCTATAGATGTCTTGAACAACAAAGCTTATAAAAGTTAAAGGAAAGAAACGGTTAGTGCACAATTCTGAAACTACATCCCAAAAGAAATAACCTAATTAAGTTTGGATAAAATCTAAAAAAAAAGAATACAGTTAATGCATTTCTAAATCAATTGTAAATCCACTAAAAAAAAATAACTTACTATGTAAAGGTCAAATAAAATCGAAAAATATGGAACCTATAAAAAATTAAAAAAAGAACCATTAAATGCGTTCCTTAAAATCATCTCTAAAATCCCATTAAAAAAATAACTACTCACTTGGAAATAGAGAATCTACAAAAATTAAAAAAAAATCGTTAAATGTGTTTTGTTAAGTCAATTCTAAAATTCCATTAAAAGAAGTCATTCTGTAATTTCATTAAAAATAACCTACTAAAAGCCCAAAAATACGAAATTTATAAAAATTAAAAAAAAAAACATCTGATATTTCTTATAGGTAGTAAAATGCTGAATTCTAAGACCTATGATAAAAGAAATGTTAAACATGATTCTAATTAAAAAAAAATAAAAAAAGGTTTGAAGTTAACTTTGAACCTACCATCCAAAGGCTATCAAAGTCAGAATCTATAAAGAAACATAAAATGTCAGAGATCATTTCTTAAAAAAAAATAATAAATTTCAAAATTCACTGAAAAGGAGGATCCAAAGCTAAATTTAACATCAAAGCCTATAAAAGAAAGTAAAATAAAAATATTAGTTTTAATGTTTCTATAAAAAAAACATTCATTTTGCAATATCCCGTTACAAAATTTACATTTCATGCATTTACAGCGTGATCTGACCTGAAATCTAGTTTCGCACGGAATTCACTTTTTTATATTAATTCCATATATAAAAAGTAATTGCGGTATCGGAACTCACGTTTATTATATAAAATCGATATAAAAAAGTGAATAATGCGAAACTAACCACCATTTTGTTGTTTTCAGAGTCGCTTTATATATTTTTTTAAAAAAATAAAAATGATAAGTTGAACTCTGGGATTTCAGTTTTAATAAAAAAATATTTTTTTGAAAAAATTTTTGAACGAAAGGTTAATGTTCAAAAAACTTATTTAGGATCCAGTTTTCAAAATTGGAATCAGATTCCTATAAAAAAAAAACAATTGTTTATTAAGTTTTTGAACATTTATCTAGGGATTTTGCATATCAAATCTCTACAAAAAAAAAGTACTTTTTTTTCTTTATAACGATAGATAAGCTTTCGAAAATATTAACTGAAATTACGATTTTTGGAATTGGAGCTGATTATAAAAAAAAAACAAAAAATACAATTAAATAAATAAAACAAATACAGTAAGTATTTTTTTTATTGAGAATTAAACTCACTTAGAAATCCAGCATTTTGAAATGAAGCCGAAGTTCCTATAGTGTTTTTTAAAGAAAGTAAAAAGGAAACATTTAGTAAAATATTTCCAAAACAATATTTTCAACTTTTAAACTTACCATTAAAAAGAAAAAATGAAGTTCCGAAATACAAAACATTATTTAAACATTATGTTTAAATTTGGCTAACCCATATATTTTTAGAATGATCGGTATAAAAATCATGAACGAACTAGCCCAGTCGCACAGGCAATTTTTGCACAGTCACGTGATCGCTTTATTTATCACATCGTCACCCGTCCGAGTTTCACTGTTTATTTTCACGTGACGGTAATACTGCGGCTTACACATGATACTTTATTTAGATCATCTCCCCGGCCCTTTTTTTTCTTTAAGAAAAACATTATAGTTAGTGTAATAAATAGTATATAACAGATAATATTTATATGTGCTATTTAATGGCATTAAGAAACATAATATATTGTGTTAAACTACAATTGCATTGAGAAATATGAATTTTTATTACTATTTTTAACAATTTACTTAACATATCATATTAATTAACGTTAATAATAAACCAATATCATTATTAACATGAAATAAACAATGGTAGTAAACAATACTTAAAATTTGATATGTACAAAACTTTCTAATTAAAAAATCTACTACTATAGAATGTTATTAATAAAGAAGTCAGTACCATGCCTATTTTGTTAGATTTGGATAGTGTCTGGACTGCGTACTCTGGAATTTTTTTTAGAAATAAAAAATGCATATTGTACAGTAACAAGCATGTGTACAGATAATTTACTGGTGATTTAGCAATAATTAATTGATAATATTATCGGAGATTTATCAATTAATGATTGAGAAACCAACTTTTTACAAATTTGAACCTGGTATCTCTTAAAAATTATCATTATCTCATAGGGTAAAATTTATAGGCCTATCAGAATACTGATAAAAAAAATAGAGCCAGTTAAGAACCAAAAACCTGATTGGACCCAATTCTTAACTGACTCTTAATACACAGTGAAATTCGATAAACCGGATCTATCGGTTCCACTAAAAATATCCGGTTTATCAGGATATCCGGTATAGCGAATATATTAAAAATCTATTATACTGAATTTTTTTGAAAAATTCATGCTAATAAAATTAATACACATTATATTTTAATTTTTTATCTTAGTTTTT